TTAGGTATACTATCAACACACCGGGTACATGCTTCCTTACCAATAGAGGCTTTCCTTTGAGTATTCAATGCCAAAACATCAAACACTTGGACTAATCTTGCCATTTTCCCCTCCTACCATAAAAAGTTGCTCATCAAACTAATCCAAATCCATTTTTTCATCAAAGTACACAAGCTGTACAAATACTAAATAGTTTCCCTAAGGATCTCAGAGAGGAAGCAAGATCAAACAAGCGGTGTGTATACCTGTGCAAATACAGGTAGTCATTCAGTCGTTCTCATGCAAAATGTTTCTTGAGATGCAGCTGAAGAGTGTTCTCTCCGAGCGTTCTCCTCATGCACCTAGCATATAAATCTGGCTTATGTTTTCTACAAACACAAAAACAAGAATCATCTTTGTTTCAACACTTAAAACTCCCCTAAGCTCAGAAACCTGCCGCCGCTCACATAAAATGCTCTTCTGATGGAGTCTGCATGAATTTATTATGAAATGACATTGTCACCGCAGTGAGAATTGAGCTCCTCCTGAGGGGAGACAGGAAGAGACAATGAGTGTGAGGAGAAAAGTGGTGTAAGTACACAGATTTTCCCAGGTCAAGAATGTCTTTGGGGTTAGTTTATGTGCACGGCCATCCACATGCACAATGCTGGTTTATTATATACTGTAATTGTGATTTATTCATAATTAGAAGAATTACAAGATATGTTTACATGACAGAATGATAGACAGTGTTAGAATGACAAATGTAACAACAGACAGAATGATAGACAGAACAATACACAGACAGATAAATAGAAAAAGAGAAAGACAGACAGAACTATGGACAGATATAAAGATAGATAGAACGACAGACAGAAGGATAGAATAACAGACAGAGGGATAGAAAGACAGATGGACAGACATACAATGGACAAATAGATTGACAGACAAACAGACAGAAAGAACGGCAAACCAATGATAGAACAACAGACAGACAGACGGACAGACAGATCAATAGAACAACAGACAGACAGACAGTTTGACAGATACAGACTGATAAACAGGCAGACAGAACAATGGACAGATAGATAAGCAGATAGAAGGAAAGACAGAATAATAAATATATAGAAAGAACGATGAATAGAAAGAATGATGGATGGATGGATGGATGGATAGATAGATAGATCATAATTGATAATAGAAAGAATGACAGACGGACGGACAGATCAATCTTACATAGATAGACCTTCCTATGGGTGTGGCCAATTCATTTCAAATTAAGAATACAGTTTAGAGGGCTTTTTTAATCATTCTTTCCTACAATTTCACAGGAGTGAAGACAAACAGAAAGAGAAGAAGAGAAAAAAGTGTGCAAGAAAAGCATAGTGGCAGAGGCACCAGAGGGAGGTGGACACATCCTGAAGCTGACTACCTGCACTGCCACAACAATGCGGTCTGCTAGCAGAAAGCCAAGAGCGTCTGGGAATATACAGACTGCAGCAATTAACTGTTCTGAGAGGGGAATCACTCTGGGGAATTAGCAGCGTCTTCACTGTGTTTCCCAGCAGCCACAGGGTGGGAATAAGAAAGCAGTGGGACACATGGTGAGGGGAGGAGCTGGTTGACAGTTAAGCCAACATCAGTGGGATTCCCTTGTTTGACTAGTTCGCCCCTACTGAGCACAAAGTGCCACCCAAGGGAGAGATTACACTCAAGACATCATTACTGAACAGACACACACTCACACAGTATTAATCTGCAGTCCATTAATGACGCAGAGGACGAACAGCGTAACGGAATCACTCTTAACTAAGCTGTATTGTAGGCCACAGTTTGTCATTGGCTTAATGGTTTAAATGGTTTTATTAGCTCATGAGAGGAAATGGTTACAGAAATTCTGTACAAAATTTCACCAGATGTACCATGATAAACAGTGATGGACTGGAAGTAAACACGGGGAAAAAAGTGGATCCAAAGTTTTGAAAATGAACAATAATATTTATTTGTTTGTTTGTTTGTTTATTTATTTATTTGTTTATTTATTTGTGATTTAAAACAAAATTTGAAATTTATTATCATATTATATAAAATTATTATGAATTATCTGAGTGATTTTGTTTCAATGAAAGAAAAACAAACAGAAGTCAATATCAAACATTTCCACATTTCCTTTCTCATTTGCAATGTCTAAAATAGCAGTTTACACAAATTTAGCACAATCAAACTACACAATAAAATTTAAATAAATAAATTCGGTAGCACTTTAGTGTAGGGGCCAATTCTCACTATTAACTAGTTGCTTATTAGCATGCCTATTATTAACATATTGGCTGTTTATTAGTACTTATAAAGCACATATTCTGCATGACCATATTCTACATTCCTAATCCTACCCAATACCTAAACTTAATATCTACCTTAATAGTTTCCCACAAGGACACAAATCATTTTCGATAAGAGAGGCAGATGGAATCTAGAGCAGGGACAACCCTGTAAAGCTTGCCTTTTCGCTATGTGAGTGCCAATGAAAAAGCCTCAGTTAGTTGCAAGCACCAAAAATTGGATAAAGCCTATATCAAAAGAGGTGCAAGAGAAAATCGGTGGGAAATGGCATGCAATTGTTTATGATATATGTATTTTTATATCTTTTCCCCAAAATAATACCACTATTTGAAGCTCAGCTATGGCGGATAGGAGCAGAGTTTAGTGTTTCTGAATCTGTCACCTATACTGACCAAACTGAAATGGGTTGCATACTGATATATGAGATTAATTATATTAATTGTTATCCTGTAATTAATTTGATTATTCTGTATATAAATTTTGTTTTTATCAGCTCTGTCTATCCCTAATGATAAACACTCCTTGGACGGTTTGTTCTCTTCAGCTCTCCTCTCCTCTCTGTCCTCTCCAGCATCCTGTCACACTTATCAGATTCACGTATGAAATGAGACACTGCTGAGGGTGTTGTTATGACCCCTATTCCCTCTTTCACACACACACTCTCTCTCTAAAGCAGTACCAAACACAAAGCACTACTGCTCAGCTTTAATAGTACAAAGTATGTGACTAAATGAACAGACAACAGACCACAAAAACCTCTGCTTACTGAAATAAGAATTCAAGAGCCTATGAGAAAACCAGACTAAAGCAATGCAGAGCCCTCAGAGAAGCAGTAAAAAAAAGATCTAAAACATCTGTCACGATTCCAGGTTCTAATAGTTAAATAGAGCTGATCAATATATATGCAGTATGCAGAATGCTTACAATATCTTGTAAAATGTCAGTTACAGTAAATTGGTTTAAATGTGACTTAATGTTTCATTTGCACTATTAATTAAAAATGGTTCACGGATGCTCCCACTTGTCATTTTTCATGCTTTAAAATGTAAAATATATATATTTTTAAATTATATACAGTATATACACACAAAACCCCTCAAAAGTTTATTGTCAGAAGGTTTCTTCTTTTTAAAAGAAATGCTTTTATTCAGAAAGGATGTATTAAATTGTTCAAAAGTGACAGTGCAGACATTTATAATATTCAAAAATCAAAAGACTTCTATTTCAAAGAAATCTGTTCTTTTGAACTTCCTTTAAAGGGGTCATATGATGCGATTTCAAGTTTTCCTTTCTCTTTGGAGTGTTACAAGCTCTTGGTGCATAAAGAAGATCTATAAAGTTGCAAAGACTAAAGTCTCAAATCCAAAGAGATATTCTTTATAAAAGTTAAGAGTCAGCCACGCCTACCTAAAACGGCTCGTTCTAACACGCCCCCACATATCTAGGTCACTATGTGGAAATATTAGCATAATGCCGCCCAAATGTGCACGCAAAGAAAGAAGGCGTGGTTTCAGGAACAGCAGTGTTGATGCAGCCATGTCAGGGAGACACTGTGTTTCAGTACGAAAGCAAAAGCACTTTATTTGGCATTCCGGAAGTAGATGCAATTAGGAATCATTGGTTTGATCTTTAAAATAGCATCATATGACCCCTTTAAAGAACCCTGAAAAAAAGTTATCATGGTTTCCACAAAAATATCAAGCAGCACAACTGTATTCAACAAAATATGAGCATATTAGAATGATTTCTAAAAGATCATGTGACACTGAAAAGATAATGGCTGCAGAAATGTCAGCTTTGCCATCACAGGAATCAATTTTAAAATGTATTCAAATAGAAAACAGTTGTATTTACTGTATTTGATCAAATAGCCTAAATGCAGCCTTGGTGAGCATAAGAGACTTCTTTCAAAAATGTAAAAAAAAAAAATCTTACAAGACCCAAACTTTTGAACAGTAGTGAATATACAGTATAGAGAGGTTTTTAAAACATCACTCGATCCTACATGATCCAACAACTGCTGCTAGTTTAAAAACATCTACTCTAATTGAATTGAAAAACACACCCTTTTAAGCTACTGCAGTGTCATATGTAATCAAATGGTGTTAAAAGGCCGAAAAATATTGATAAAAATAATATGATGTGGGTGAAAAGTAATAAGATTTATTTAGCTACATCGCCCAGCTTTAAAGCTGAGCAAACTCATGGATCAGATGTGCTGCTGGGCTCTCTCAGAAACATTCAATTACACAATTCCACTTACATAACCTTCATTACATAACTTTTCATTTCTCATTCTTCAGACTTATAACTTTCCCCTTAATGTACAGATTAATGCAGAAGCGTTCAAACCAGCCGCTGTCCCTGACCTCACATTGTTATTGTGGTCCAGCTAAACCTCAATGTAATCCCAGCCCAAAGCAGAGCGAAAGCTCTTCACGCTGATAAAAGCACATAGCATTATGTTATTTCCTAAATTCCTGTCCCTCTTTCAGCACATATTTCTCCATCCCAAATATATAAATGACAGTCCTTCATAATTCAGACATACGACAAAGTAGGTTGGAAAATGTCCTTACAGTATGACAAAAACCAGACCAGACGAGCCCACAAGTTCTGCTTTGATGATCCTATCCATTAAGGTTATCCTTTTTTTGACCAATTTCAAAAGTTCCAGAAAGTTGTCCTTGTTTGTGTGGGTGGAATCAGTAAGCTCAGACGAGACAAGGACATGAAATTCAGACATCAGATGACATTTAATGAAAACTGGATGTAGAGGCTTACCTGTGAGTCAGCAGAGGGTCAAGACCACGGGTGGGCAGGACAGCAGAACATAAAGGAGAGACAAGAATTTAGACAGACAGCTAAACTGTGCCATGTGGATTAAAAAAATTGAAGTACAGAGCAACAATGAGCCCTGGATATGAAAGACAACGCGTGGGAAAGGAGCATGAATCATGTATGTATTGCAATGAAAAGGTAATGAACGAACAAAAGAAAATTAGATAAAAATGCAAGACTTCAGCTGGAAGGCAAAAAAGAGTGGATGAGATAAAGAGAAAGACTTTTTAAAATGTAGTATTAAGCTTTCTATTTTATTTTTCACTGTTTCACTGCATTTTAGTTTGTTTGTTTGTTTTATTGTATTATTTTAGTTTATAAAAATTTATTTTTACTGCATTTACACTACTGATATTATATGTAGCCAAGCTGCAAATGGCTGTAATGTAATGTAATGTAATATAATATAATAAAAAAAACAACTTTAGGGGTGCATTGAAAATGTATCAATTAATGTGTTTTTCAATTAAACTAGGTTTTTAAATATTGCTTAACAATGCCGTTTTGACTTAGAAAAGTGCAACGCTCATGTTTATTTATTGAAATTACAGACTTTTTAAGTGTAATAATCACATTAGGCTGTATCGCGATTCTTACTTTTCCATCCCCAAATTTAAGACCTTTAAAAATGATGTTAAGATATTTGTTATACAATTTAAAATATTTAAGAATTTTTTAAATACGTGCACAGACTTTTATTGTTTTTGTTGTTGTTGTTTCTATTTATTCACACACATGCTCCTAAATAATTTCTGAGGTGCTCCCAATTTACAGCTCTCACACAACTGTGCACTGTCCTGCCCTCTATAATAATATAATATAATATAATATAATATAATATAATATAATATAATATAATTATTATATTACAATTAAAACCATTTTCAGCTTGCATTCATATGACAATTGTGACAGAGAAAAAAAATCATATTAATAAAATAATACAATAAAAGAAGCTAATTCATATTTAATTTACAACATTTTTTTATTTTGCACTTACTGTTCTTAATAGCATTACTAATACCTCCTGTTCTCTCCCATTCTAAATGCATGTAAAACAGCAATGCCAATACAGTAGTTTGAAATTGTGAGAGTAACAGAGTGAAAGAGAGAGTGATGGTGGAGGGTTTTCTAAAGGGGTGGTCTAGGCGAGGCAATGTGAGATATGGAGGTGTTCTTCCAGCAGGCTGCTTCCTTTCAGCTGTCATCTGTCTCTGTCAGCGCGTGAATTCTCATACACGACTCTCTGAGCTCAGCAGAGCACAGCTGTCTGCCCTCTCTCATGACAGGCAGCAGGACAGCGAGATGCCCGTCACCACTCCAGTATAGCACACAAACATAAAGAAGAGCTACACCTGATGCTAAGAGTAGGTCTGAATGGAATCTGCACATTTTTTACATTTTGGGCATAGAATCTGCAGAATTCCGTGGAATAGATTGAAAAATGATGCAGATAATAGTTTATTTTCAAAATACTTTCTACTACTCCAATTTAATGTGCATTGAGCACAGTATGCAAGACATTAATAGGTTGATTTTGCCACATATAACATATATGTGATATTTTATTTTGAGTGGTCCAACATGTAAACGTATAATTTTGGTGTGAGTTTGGGATGGGACTAATTGTTTGATGTGTTTTAGGGAAACTCATTTGTGCAATTCCATTTGTTGCTACTGGCACAGAAATGACGTGCTTTACTTTTAATGTGGTAAAATGTGTTAAAGGGATAGTTCACCCAAAATTAATATTTTACTCATGTCATTCTAAGCCTTTATGACTTAACCTTCTTCTGCAATACAAATAAAAGTCCATTCTCAATAGTATAGCTATGCATGAAGCATGGCTAACACAGAGGTCACTTTCCAACCAAGTAGCTTTCTTATGGTCAATGCGGTGAATTTGTGTGACCAACTCAAACCCAATGCAAAATCTATGTGCGAAAATGTTTTGTTTTTACAGAAATTCCTTTTGAAATAAGTGGATTTTGAATGCAAAGTTTTACCAAGTAACAAGTTACCAAGACCTTTTAAATATAGGGTTGGGTACTGAAACCCGGTACCAATATGGCACCGGTACCTATGTAACCAGTATGTACTAGAACCGAATCAGAACGCATATTTCGGTGCCATGCCTGAGCGATCAATTGAAATATTTGTCCTCTGGTTCTCCGAAACGGATGTAAGCAGCATCACCGGCACCGCACGTGAAAAATAATTTCCCGACTGAGAAACTGCATGTGAACTCAAGTCGGAAAGCACTAATAATACAAATCCAACAAATCTTTGTAGTAATGCGAGTGTCCATGTTGTTTTCACATTTTACTCAGTTACAGCTATAATAGCGATGCCTTTGTCCATATAAGGGATTTCCTGGAGGGTCATGAGTTCTGCTACTTCTGTGACTGGATATGTGGATTTTCTGTGCGAGGGTGCATCCAGTATGAATGAAACAGACATCATGTGTTTATAGTGCTAACGGCCAATCCATCATTTTTTGGGGATTTATTTATTTATTTTTTATTTTTTTTATACGTATCGGTGCAGGCAACGTTTAGGCACCGGAACTGTTTTAAAAGTATGGATTTGGCACCGGTATCGAAAAAACCACGAACGATACCCAACCCTATTTAAATATGAGCAAAATATTAAGCAAATTAAGTAAAATATTTAATAAACTAATAATCTAGGAGCAAGGACCATGTATAACCTTGTGAAAGACAGCAGTTTGAATTCTGCAGAAAGCTTTGTGTGGAATCCGTGAAGGTCTATGAGTTCCTCTAAGCATATCAAAAGAATCCCTAATAAATATGCACCGTCACTTGTGTGGGATACAAACTGGATCACTGTGGTGCCAATCTCAGTCCATGAACTGGAAACCATATTATGCCTTCCATATGTGGGCAATGAACCTCGGGGGCAGGTTTGTGTTATTCTGTTGTTGTTTTTTTGCAGCAAACAAAGACGGGTTGTATTCTCATAAACACCAGAGAACAGAGTTTCCTTTCCAAACCTGGTCAATGCTTCATCCTCCAGCTCCATTCCATAAATCTCACAAACAGCTGCAGGTCATCTACACACAAAACCAAGCAAAACAGATACTGCAAAACCCTAAACAGCTCATCTTAACATGGGTGGCACTAAATTTCACACACAAAAAAAGAGAACAGAACCCCAATAAGTAGAGCCTCAGAGCTATAATAGCTCTGAAACAGACTCCAAAAGAGAGAAAATATCTCCATTCCCCCTCTGTGTTTGGCCCAGAGCCCCGTATACACATTCTTCAGCCAGACCTCTAAGAGTTTACTGCATAATTACAGTCAAAAACACAGGGACTGATATATTAACAACAGCTACCGCTGGGCTGTGACCTTCTCACTCCTTTTGAAGTGCATAGTGAGTAAGGGAGAGAGAAAACAGAAAAAGAAAATTAAAATTATTTTGGGAAAGGTCACAAAGCTCCCATAGCAGCTTGCTACAGTATGTATCTGCCGTCTATGTAGCATGCTAATTCCCACAGCCAGAGGGACGCTTTGTAAAATACAATGTGCTGCATGTGTATGGATGCATTTACACACTAAGGCTTGATCTGACTTGACACATATACAATTTTTTGCTTATCTGTTTACATTCAGTTTATATTAAAACACAACCGGTGCTGTTTATGATAATACACCACCAAGACATGCTAGAATGACTATGCACTATGTAGCTTTGTTCGATTTTAGTTTTATTTTAAAAATAGATTGATAGTGCAATGTAATGGATTTAAAAAAAATAATTGTATTATTTTTTTCACATTTTATAATAATAATCTGAACATCTGAAACATCCTGCGACTTATATTCCAAAGCCGAATGAGAGGTATATGAGCCCAAGTTTATTTGTATAGCGCATTAACACCACACCAATAGTTTCAGTTTTCCTTTAAATATGTGAGTGGAAGTGAAATACACGTTTATAGTGTTTAGAGTTTTTGCAAGTATTTTGTTTTATTTAACGTGCTTTATACATCCACACCATGTAAGAACTTGAATGATTTTCTTGTTGAAATCCTTTATAGCCATGGCGATAAAGATTTACTGACTCTGAGGATGAGAGCACTATTAAAAATATGGCACCAACTCTAACTAACACTCTAGAATGAAACACTGGCTTTTGTGGCCAGCGTCCTCAAACCAATAAAGTATTACATTAACAGAAAAATCTAAATGTATGGACTTGTACTGCTCATGCAGACTTAAGCCTTGAGAGATTGCATTCCAGGTGATTATATTACATTACATGGTGTTACGTTCCATTGTCCTATTGACACCTTTGCAATTAATAACATGCATAAGTATGTAAATGTTTCTGAATGTAATAATACATTTCAGTCGAATACATTATCTCAATCTGTTCACAGTAAATCTGTTATAATGTTTTGCACCTGTTGTGAAACGTGTTAAAAACTTGAAGGAGATCTCGAAGATGATATCACTTAGCAACTTCATTTCCACATGGCTGTTTCCTGTCTCCGCGCTACCTGGCGATATCTTAGCGAGCGAGCAAATGTGGCAGTAATATCAGAGTTCTTTTATGACAAGCGAACGCTTTTGGTTCCATTACCGTATCTTTGGCTCTAACTTGTCATTAATGTGGGAGTGCGGCTGGGTAATAATTAGGCTGATTTCCTTCATTCATTCACACTCTGTTTTGCTAAACCAGCCACGTGAGGGGCTCGAGGTGGGCCGAACGGTCCCCTGCCTGCTCCCCACAGCTGTAATTTGAAGCTGTTTGCATGTAGACTTGTGCCGGTATTCGGTAATGCGATATATCACGGTAATTAATATACGATATTGTTATCGTGGGCACTTCTATCCTGCCAAATGCAATTACATGGACTCACGGTTCAGTCGAGCTGTAGCTCCTCGTTAAACGCCGGCCCGGACTAATTGTACAGA